CAAGAGTTACGTATGATACATGAAATCCCATCTTAACAATAGTTATAGGTCGTCGAATCTCGCTAAAAATAGCATCCCAAGAGGTCTTATCATCAAAGCAAACATCAAATTGGAATGATTGTGACTCACCACTACTGTTAAGAAGAACCTGTGAATAATCCATTTCATTCACGTGTACACAAGGGTTTGCAGTACCTTCTTTACAGTTTTGAATTCGAGCCATTACTGTGAAACACCCTTGTAAACTTTGAAGAACACGCTCTGCCCTTGCGTGCTTTACCTGTTCTTCATATAGGTCAACTGCTAGAGCTTCACGATCAGTTTGAGCTCTCTTGTACTTTTTCTGTTCCTTCTTTAACTCTTTAACAACCTGCTTAAGTTCATCTTGAATCTTTGCTTCAGAAGACTCAACCATGTGTTTTGTATTCTGATTTACCATGGCTTGCTTCTTAGAGATCTCTAGTTCCACTTTAGTCTCTTCTAATATACGTGATAGTTCAGCATTTTTTTCTTGTAACCCTCGAAGAAGATCAATCTTTCTATCCAAAGCAAGTAGTAACTTTGGGTCACTGATTTTCTGTCGAGTCATTACGAGTAATGAAGATTCTAAATCCATACAGTGACTCTTACAAGAATCAAGTTCGATCTGTTGCGTTCGTGCATTCTCTTCGGCGGTTCTTAACTGACCCTCAACTCTCTCAAGATCCATCTGAAGTTGTGTTAGTGCATCAGTATCATTACCAGAAGATCTCTGATTAACTAGGGCTCGATATTGATCACGATAACGATTTGCCTCCTTCTTAAGTGCATCAGAATAAAGCTGCAACTCAGCATTTGCCCTATTAACCTCTTCAAGCTTTCTTTCCATATCCTCAACACGTTGATGTTGATCCTGAGTATCAGTATTTACACTTATAGGGTTACTTTTCTCAGCCAGTGCCCCTTCCACCTCTTGTATACGAGCACGAAGCTCCATAACCTCTCTTGACGCAGCTAACTCCATAGATACAGCCTCATTGAATCGTCTTTCCAGATCTTCTACCCTGTCAGTATAAGAAGTGAGTTCCCGTACCAAATCATCCTTCTCTGCTGTTATATGTACTTTATCCTTCTCAAGTTCTTCATTATTCCGCATGAGTTCAATGTTATGCTGTCGTAGTTTCACAATCTCAGACCGTAGTGGTTCTAAAGATAAGGAATCCCACCTTAGTTCTTTTTTACCATCCTTCCCATTCATAACTGTGCCCAAATTGGGGTCTTTTGATTCTTTAAGGGGCTTATTTTCTGTTTCACATTCTACATTCTGTCCATCTTCCACTACACTGTGTGCATTCGCATGAGGTGTTTCCATATGATCTATCTGAGAAACCATCTTTGCTGTGTTACTTTCCTCTACTTCAGTGACATGGTTCGTTTCCTTTAGGGCCTCTGACACAGAGTTATGGTTTTCTACACTTGGAAAAGAGACTTGTACATCTTTTCTTGTCTCTAAGGACTTACTGAGTAGATTATCGTAGCGCTTCTTCCACAAGGCACTCTCAAGCTTCATTTTTTCTAATGCATGACGCAACTCATCCATATCTTCTGCACTTCTGTCTCCATACTTGAAGTGATTCCCAGTGTAGGTCATGTAAAAGTCATACGCCTTCAGCCATTCTGGTGGTGGTTTGGTCCCTTCTGGTATCGGTACTCGTGTAACGGCATAACCTTGGATGAAATCAACTGCGAACAAGATGCGGTGTTCTTTTAACACCCCTTTCCCATCCATTTCACCATTCTTCCAATCTCCGCAGTAAATATTACCACTAGATTGAATGAAAATACCAAATCCTCCTTCTTTACCTCTAACCCACTCTCCATCATAAATATCTCCATTACTGTTGTAAAGTACCCCGTGACCATGACGATAAGCTTCTTCCCAGAACCCTTCATACCTATTACCACTATTCTTTATGGTAAAGACACCGTATCCATGAATTTTGTCATCTTTCCAAAAGCCAACATACTTGTCACCATTAGCAAATAAATATGTTCCACGGTTGTGTTTTTTTCCTCGATACCACTCACCTTCGTAGCGATCACCGCTTGCATAGGTGTAGGTACCTTTTCCATGCTTCATATCAGATTCCCACTCCCCTTCGTAGATATCTCCACTTGGGAAGTAATAGTATTTTCCGTAGCCATTCAATTGTCCGTTTCTTATAGAACCAACATACTTTGAGCCACTAGGGAACTGAACTTCTGTATTATCACTATTCACCAGCTTCTTTTCCTGCCTTACCAAAGAAGGAGTCTCATTTACAACGCCATCATTAGTCTGGGTTACTGATTCATCTGTTTCTAACATGCGTCAGTCACTTGTAAAAGTCTCTAGGTGTAAGAGGGGAGGAATAGAAGAAGGATGAGAAACTGCGAAGACAGCGGTATCCCATGAAAAGTACACCATTACAACAAGAATGGAAATAACAAAAAGAAAAGGTGTTACATAAAAACAGATGCATAGGTCCCTCTTAGCCAAAGGTTAAGAGTAACGATAACAAGGCACTTGACTGTGCACGTATCTCTTATCCTCGCTCTCACTCGGTATGAGTACACATACATACATACATGCATACGTACGTATATGCATACATACAGAGACACAAAAGGGACTAAAGATAACAAAAAAAAAAGTGTTCCACATAGATGTGAGAACTATCAGCCTTAAGAACGATATATAATTACCTTAATGCTGTACTTAAGTATTCTAACATCTATTATTCTCCTATATACTACTATTAGAAACCCTATGTCATGCATAAGAGATGAAATAAGAGTTTCCAAGTGTAACTATTTTCCTTTCTTAGTTTCACTGCGTAACAAAGTTTGCTTTTCCAGAGCATTGTATAGTCTTGTAAACTTCATTATCGCAGTAGAGAGTACTGCTGCAAGGGCATGGATGTACATATTGCGTTCATGTCTCCACTTTCTGGCTTCCCAGTCAACTTCAAGACTTAGATCTGCAAATCGAGGCTTACCAACACCATATTTTTTCCTCCATTCCAGCATCTGAAGAGTGAAACCTGCAACTGTTGCTACTGCAAGCAACAAGAGTAGTGAAACACCGTGAAAGTTTAATCGTTCCACCAATGTCACAGCACGACAAACGTAGCGTGAAAGACCTGGAAAAGGTATTACAAATAAGATAAAGATAACCACGGCGGGTACGATGAAGTAGTTCACCTCAAGGGTAAGGATACTGATCATTGCTTCTTCTTCTTTTTTCTCTTTCCTTTAATGTGAATAAAAAGGGGTACTATGAAAGATCGGAGAAAAGCAACTGGGAAAAACCAACAACACCGCCACGGAGGGTGAAACCGCAAAAAAGAAAACTAAAAAGAAACAGAGAGGGATTTCCCCGCAGAAAAACCGCGGACCCAGCAGAAAAAAATCGGGACGCCCCCCCGCCAAAACAGAAAAAAAGGCGGGGAAAAAAAGAAGAGACGCCCCCGCAGGACGCCGGCCGCCTGCCTGGGGACGGGCGGAAAGGAGAAAGCGGTGGGGAAAAGCCCCCGGGGGTCCCGCCGCGGCGGGCGTTGGGGGAAACTGGGGAGGGGGCGGGGGACCCTTTTGGCCCCCCCTTTCCCCGAAAGCCACCCAAACGGGGAAAAGAAACGGGTGGGGGTTGGGTGGGGAAACCGGCGCTGCCGGCGGGCGGTTTCGGGGCGCGGGGGCCTGGAGGGAAATGGCGCGCGGGTTCCCCTGGGGCCGGCTCGCCCCGCCCCTCCCCCCCC